TTAAGTAGATACTTTAACGCACTTTGCATTGTTATACAATAGCTTGTTAAATAGTATCTTTATCACTCGGTACTCTTTGCTCATTTACTTTTGGGATCATAAGTTGTTAAGCAAGGTTTCTAAATATTTTCTTTACCACGGTGACATCTCTTACTGCCAACAAGATTTGATCAATGTAGATTTGCAGATTGGCTGTGCTATCAATAGAAACTAAATGTATCTTCATAGCAAACAACCGAGTAGTGATAACCATCAGTAGATTGATGGCACCAAAGTAGATTGATTGACTTTAGAACATAATTAGGTTGTAAACCACTTGACCCTTATCAAAAAGTTGCAACCACTTAACAAAGTTTGTACCTGTAAGTGGAAAAACAATGCAATTGCTTTATAGATGATTAATCTATATCAACTTTACGTATTAAAGAGTAAGTAATAAGTTGATTTGTCACTTGTTGTGGTAGATTAGATTCTTTCTGACTTGTTGTCTTGTAAGTTGTCACCGTGCTGTAGTTGAATAATCTCATACCAGCTAGATTAATTCGGGGAAAATCATCTGAGTTGATATGTGTTTGCATAATTAGATTGGTTTGTAACTCACTGCTTTATAATTGATTGATTACATGCCAACTTGAATAATTCAAGGACATACCTGAACTGTTATCTTGTTTGCATATATTGTGGTTACATTAGATTGGTTTCTGCATGTTTAACAACTAAAACCCACCACATAGTGGTGGATAAGTTCTAAGGCGAATAGGAAAACAGGGTAGATAGCAACTTAGAAGTCTCATAAGCAGACAAAAGCTGTTGAAGCTTGAGGAAGAATCAATTATTGTACTCAACGTCTCGGGAAGACATCTCTGATGTGGTTAGTTGCTCTTCATCTGGAGAAAACACGAGAGAACTGCTCTAGGAATATCAAAGGTATGCAAATGAGTATAGTAGATGGACCTCGAGATCTATATTTGTAGTTACTTAGCTTAAGTTTTGGACCTTTAGTATTAATTGAATATTTTTAGGTAGTTTTGAGCTGGTGAGGTAGCAAATTTACCTTGATGTAGCATTGCACAATCCTGGAATTGCTTCTCTAGAAATTTGGAGCTTATATGATGCGTTATTGCAATATATTCATGTTTGTATTCTCAGTTGTTTTTGAATTTGTATCAACTGCAAGTTGTCTTCCGCATCTCTTTCATCTCCTAGAAAAATGAGGTACCTTATGTCTCTACTGGACTCAGGCCAAGGTTCCAATACTTTCTGCTAGCCTTATCCACTTCTAGAAAAATGAGGTAGTTGCTCAAAATGCATTGACTATCTGATATATTAACTAAGTGCCTATTCATGAAGTATGAAACCCCAAATGGCTTTTTGGTGCATGGAGGTTTGTTTTTGAGGGATTTGTCTCATTTGTTTTCTCGAATGAGAAAGAAGACATCTGTTTTTTCAATAATGCACTCTTTTCTTGTTTGCTGTGTGTGTGAGGGAGGGAGGGAGTATTCTGCTCATAAATTGTTGATGAACGTCCCTGTATCTTTAAGTTTTACCTTCAGTTTGAGTTCACTGTCTGGCTTTCCAGTTCATTCTAAGTCTTAATATTTCTAAATAACAAGAGACACTTCTATATAGACGCAGTACTGATTTGCCGCGATTTGTGTAGGAAAAGGTAAGTTGTGTGTACTGTTATATCTGGTAATAGTTTTATATTCTAAACACATATTTCGCAGATTATTCACAATTTTCTGTTGAGAATTTCAGCAACAGAGGCAATTTGAGAGACTATAGTAATTGTTGAGATGTTTTTGATATACAAAAATCTGTGACAAGCATGTAAGATTTTCAAATATCATGAGACGACGTTATTGAACTCTCTTATCAATGTAATCAACGCGAGCTTCATGTGTCTGATATAAACTATAGTATTTGTGTATAACCAAATTTAAGTCATAACGATCTCAATACGATGAGTCAATGATAGATATTATAACATGCTTTTCCGCCGATTTTCACGAGCCAGTCGATTACTCTGTTTTCCAGTGGTGCATAACGTTGCATATCGACTATGTGGCAATTCCAACAGCTCCATCACCATTGATTTAGCGAGTCTCATAGGCAGAGTCGGATCTAGAATTTGAACTTTGTGGATTCACAGCAATCTTAAATTAATATAGAATAATAACCAGATAAACAAACGATAACTGATCTCAACGGTTTTTTAGGAAGAAAAGGGAAAAAGCATAAGTGCATGCGGGTGTTGTCTTGTCAAAAAGTAAAAGTAAAGTTAAAAATTGTCAAACCGTATTTGAACCCTCGTCAAACCCAAGTTGGATCCTCCTTTACCGCTAAACCAACAGCCGTTTTTAGTTCTGGGTTTCCAACTTAAAATTTATATATATTAATTATTTCTCAATACAAATATAGGATCCAAACAAAAGTTATTAGGTTCCCGAGAACCCATACCGATACTGTAGATCCGCACTGCTCATAGGTGTCATCTAAGCATAAATATCTAAGGATTAGATCAGCTGCAGCATATCACTGCCTATAAGGGATTGCAATTTGCATCCCATAGCGAATCGAGCATGAATGTGTCACCACTAAGACTAGGACTATAAGTACTCCAAACCATTATAGGAGAGATAACGACTTCCTTGATACGAGAGTACACCCCTTTTAGGCTAAATGCCAAATGCATAATTGTCGAGATGTTTTTTATTTACAAAAATCAGTGACAAACATGTAAGATTTTCACATTTTATTTTATTTAAATTGTGTAGAAAGACACACCTAATGGGACAAGCACTAAAACAAACAAATTCTAATGGTAATTAAAATATGTCGATAAATTGAAAGAAAAGGTAGGCAGCAGTAAAAGGCAAACCTTTGATGGAGAAAAGATCTCGCCCCAGAATATCTTTGGGTGGATAGTCCTCACGTGTACGTGAAAAGTCAGCAAAATGTGGAGAATAGGCAAAAAAGATTGAAAAGTGAGTGGTAAGGCCCAAAAAGTAAAAAAGAAGCTGCTAATAAGTTGGAATGACGAAAGCGCATTGGCTAGTGGCTAAAATTAAAGAAAGAATATTACTGTACATCTGTATTCTGTACATAATAGGTAAGAGTAAATATAATTGGCAATCAAACCTGAATTCGGTGAATTGAGCTGCACCTCATTAGATATTCTTTTTGCATCATTCTAGAGACTGTTTCTGAAAAGTTTTCTCAAACTTCGATTTTTTAAAATTATATCTGGATTTTTTCAGTGGTTTTCTCCGAAAGGCAGTCTCAAAAATCTTTTTCAGTAAAAGGGCTTTTAGATTTTCTTTTTCTTCAAAAAGAACTCTTCTCTCTCAGTTAGTAGTTAGTACTCACGAATACATCAAAAACTATTAAACCAAACAAAATTTTCTTGAACAAGTATATTTATACAAACAGTATCTTCAGAAGTCCAAAGGGCTAAATTTCGATTGATGCTAAAATTTCACTTGTGTCGAAACAATACTGAAGGTAATAAATGACTAAGCACCGATACTTAATTTTAAATCTAAATGGCATAGTACCTGAAATTGTTACAAATACTTTGGCCAGTCAATCGAATCTTTGAGGTCTCAAGTGGTCAATGATACACCAAAAAATGAGAATTTCCTTTTACTATAAGCAAAGCTTAATATTTAAGTGACAAAGAATAATATATAGTATAAATAGGAGTTCGGCAAAGTTTATTTTTTATTCTAATTTTATATATCTATTAAGAATTCACTAAATATAAATATATAACAAACTTAAGAACTCGTAAACTCTACGTCTAAAATTCATAACTTCAAATTCTTAATTCGCTTAGATGTAATCTTGAAAATTTCTAAGTTACAAAAAAAAACCTGAAACAGAAAAAGATTAAAAAGGATGGTAAGGGGTGGTAGTGATAAAATGAAGTGGGTGACAGTCCCACGTGACTGGTCACCAATTATCGGTGGATGTCATGGTTGGCTTCATATCAACGCTAACAGCCGAAAGATATATGCCCCAAAATCACATTTCAAACAAAGTCACAAAACCAACACATTACTCACCTAAAAAGATAACACTAACAAAAAGTTGGGAAAAAAGTTGGTTTACTATCATTAACTCATTTGACAAAGTTAACACTGCCCATCTTTCCTTCTATCGTTTTGGTTGGGCACTATAACTTGGCCTTTTTCTCCATTTTCCATCTCTTCTACTTTCTTTTCCTTTCACTTTTCAGTCATAGGCTAGTGGCTCCTCTCCTGTAGTCTCTCTCGTTTGTTGGACAAATTAGGTGAAAGGAATACTGTAAGTAAAACAGTGAATTATAATCCAATCAAAAAGGTCATTACGCTTAGTAAATATTATGCTTAACAAATTCATCTTCTTTCTTTATTTTAATTTTTTGGCTCTGAGGCTTGAACAAGGAATCTTTTAACAGGAAAAGCTTACGTGTAGTGAATAATATGCTTAACAAATGGAGTTTATTTACACACATTTAGCTCAAGTCAAACATATTAAACTACTTTCGTTTATATGATGATAACCAAGTGAAGGAGAATTGAACTTATTCTTTTTTTCCCCGATAACTAAGTTCCGTAATTATATGAATATATAAGTACACCCGCCTATGTATAAGTCTAGTCACAAATTCTTAGGGATCGTTTAGTACGCACGATAAGGTGGGATAATATGTGATACTAAATTTATATTATGTAATTGACTGGCAGTAAATTTATACGTCAATCAAACATAGTATAAACTTTGTCCCAAACTTAATCTTGGATATTCTATCTTATCCCATCAAACTTAATATTATTTTATCCATAATCTCATAACTATAATCTCGAAATAATTTAATCTGCGTATCAAACGACCCCTAGAATTAAGTCTTTTGAGCAATTAGAAATAGGAGGATTAAGATATATATATGTAGCATCCATTTAAAATGTTTGAACAATCACAGCTGTCCAACGCGAGCATAAAGTTTGATTCGGTTATTGTGATATAGCAAATATCTTAAACAATCACTAACAAGATTTTCTTATGTCACGCTCTGTATGTTTAAGAAATTCCATGATTCTCCTTAATGCATAAGAATCCTAAAGTTGACAACCTTTTGAAACTACAAGAGCCTAGCTAAGACTTCCAATTACTTAGCTACTATACTACTCTTTCCCTTTTATTCCCCCCTTTAATTAATTCTAGTGGCTTTCCCTCCTTTTAATTTCCTCTTTCTTTCTACCTCTCAATTCCTCTCCCACATATATTGCTAGCGGTTAGGTATAACAGCTAGAAGAAATTAGTGATAGGAAATGAAAGAGGATTAGATACATATGGATCAAGAAATCTCTAGTAAAGATGATTTCTTTCCAAGAAATAAGCAGCAAAATTACCATGCTGCCACTGGCAATAATACGAGTGATAGACTGAAGAGAGATGAATGGAGTGAAGGAGCAGTTTCATGCCTTCTCGAAGCTTATGAAGCTAAATGGATACTCCGTAACAGAGCTAAGCTCAAGGGACAAGATTGGGAAGACGTAGCGAAACATGTGTCGGCGCGTGGCAATTCCACGCGATCTCCTAAGACACAGACGCAGTGTAAGAACAAAATTGAGTCGATGAAGAAACGGTACCGATCGGAATCCGCCACCGCCGCTGATGCTTCTTCGTGGCCGCTCTATCCTCGCCTTGACCTTTTGTTACGTGGAAATAATGCTTCCGCAGCTTCCACTTCTGTTATTCCTCCTCCACCGCCGGCTGTGGTGGAACCACCGCAGCCGGCAGCTGTACTACCGCCACCTCCTATTCCGGTTCCTCCGCCTCCTCCACCGCCGCTGCCGACGGCTGTGCCAATTGGGAATGGTGGTCAGAATTCGAATGGGTCTAATGGTGTTGATAGAGCTGCAAAGGTTAGTCAAGCGTACTCTATATGCATCCATTTTCTCAAATTATTTGTTTTACAATTTTAACTACGATTATTCACTATTTTCAATTCAAAAAAAAAAAGAATCATAATATATCTTAATTTGAAATAATTATGATCTTGATAGAGGGAGACATAAATCCCTATGTATGTTTGTATGATTTTTTAACGCACTCATCGCCACCAGGTTTCGAGAATATGCTTCAATTCTAAATGGTTAGTAGTTGAAATAATTGTATAAGAAAAGAGATATAGCGTTGGTGCTTAAAATGATAGTTTTGCATTATTAATGTTATGAATTAACGACGAAGAGAAATTTGAACCCCACCTTTTGGAAAAAGTGTTTTTCTGCTCCCTCATCATGCACTTTTGTTTTCTGGTCAGAGTCGTTCTGAATGTTTAATTTAGTCTTAGCTTATACAAAATAGAAAATAATAACACTATGATAATAATAATAATAATAATAATAATAATAATAATAATAATAATAATAATAATAATAATAATAATAATAATAATAATAATAATAATAATAATAATAATAATAATAATAATAATAATAATAATAATAATAATAATAATAATAATAATAATAATAATAATAATAATAATAATCAAGTAAGTAATTAATTAATGAACAATGAACCACCTTTTAACTCAGAGAGCTCCTCATTTGCGATTTCACTAACAAATACTTCCTGAAGGAGATATTTAAAATAGCACACCTTTCCATGTATTTGGTGTGTTTATGATTAAGTAAATGATCATTTGAAGATTATATTTGGATAAAAAGATATTAAAGTCTAGTTTTCTTAATTTTAAATATGTGAAAAAGGATTACTTCGGAAAACATGGTTTAATTTTGAGCTATATAGAAAACATGGTTTAATTTTGAGCTATATAGAAAACATGGTTTAATTTTGAGCTATATAGAAAACATGGTTTAATTTTGAGCTATATATACGAAATCGATCTGTAGGATTAAAGTTATATACTCTATAATATAAAACTTATCCACTTAAGTAACAAGAACATACAAACTTTGAAATGTTATTTTCAAGCACTAGCTAGAACGAAATCCATCACATCGATCTAGCTTCCAATAACGATATGTCTCAAGTTCACAACGTATGCATGCGACAATATTTTAAAGTACACTCAGACACAAGAAGGGGTTGACTACTTGACTTGTGTCTTGACCGATTTTGCAATTTCATAGAATCTGGGTTTTTGAATGTAACAAAATACACAAACAAAAGTAAAGTGTGAAATTCAAACTGCACAATAACTTTTACGTGGAAAACCTCCATGTTTAAAGAGTAAAAATCACGACTTACCCCAGTAAAATTTGACTCCAAACTTTTCTAATTTCAAAGAGGGATTTTAGGTTACAACTTTATAATCAAGAAAACTAACAATAATGCCCTTCCCCTACAATCAACTTTATTGTAGCTACCCCTTCCCAAACTAATTCTAGTCTAGGAAGCTAATACAAAAACTCAAAGTTTGCGTGCTAACATATTATTACACTTCTCAAAAATAATTAGGTTACAATTAAGAGCAATTGACTCAAATCCAAAACAACTAAAGAACTTAAGCAGCTTCGTCTCCTGGACCTGGTTCTTCAGTTGAGCTGCGTAAATCCTTGAAAGCACTTTCTTGCCAAGAGTTATTATTTGCCTTGAATAAATTCTATGCTAGTGCAAAATAATGGTAGCCTTGTAACAACAATAATGCGGTGCTTTATATAGGAATGAGGTTGAGCAAAAAATCTTTTCCAAGTTAAGGCTCCAAAACCTAAAGTACTTCGGTCACCTCCTTAAGAAACATATATCTTAAAAGGATTCTATTTGGATTTTCCTTAACCAGACTCCTTCACGCCTCTTCCTTTCCATGCAAGTCTTCCCGTAATTAATCTTCCCATGTTGGACACAAGTTCCTCCTGTTAATATTTTCCTTTTAGATTACTATCACGATTTTTTCAACTTTAGCCGAAATTGATTTTCCAATCATGATTGCACTAGGAGACGTCCTTCTACTTCAGATCAGTAGGCTTCAAGCAACTTGGTTCTTTTACAATCATCCCAACTTGGTTTGTCAATCATCAAAACCAACTTAGCTCAGCTCAAATATCTTCTTTTTTTTTCTGTCCTCTTTTACTCAAGTATCAAATTTATTTGTGAAAAAAGTAGCAATTATGAAATTAACTTGCACGATAGTAGGAGTTACTCATAAAACCATACTTCAAAAACTGCGCATCTTAACAATTAATTTGTATAGTACTATACATCTTTTTTAAGGAGCATGAAATTAAAGTTCCCTAAGTTGTTTTTTCAGGAAGACATAATGGATGCCAAATTGTCGGACAATGCAGCATCAGACAAACATGCAATGGATACAAACAGCAGCACGCCGGCCCTCTACAGCGACGACAAGAGCAAGTCGAAGAATGTGAAACTGAGATCAATGGAGAAAAAATCAAAGAACAAGCGAAAGAGGGCAGAAGGGTGGGAAATTGGGGAGAGTATAAGGTTACTAGCAGAAGTAGTAGTAAGGTCAGAGCAAGCAAGAATGGAGACAATGAGAGAGATTGAGAGAATGAGAGCAGAAGCTGAGGCCAAAAGAGGTGAAATGGACCTCAAGCGAACAGAAATAATTGCCAATACCCAACTTGAGATTGCTAAGCTCTTTGCAAGTATTACTAAAGGAGTTGACCCTTCTTTGAGAATTGGAAGAAGTTGAGAAATAATTAGTACTGCGGAAAATAACGTTCTCTCCATCTTTTACTGATATCTTCTTGACCCACTGCCTAATGGAAGACATTTTATTTAGATTACTGACTAGCAGTTCCATTTTCTTGCTGATTTGTATCCTTAAGATCTTTACAGTATCACTTCTTTCTTTGAAAATGACAGACGAATAATCCATCAATCGACTGTGTCTTAATCTCAAATTAAACTAATTAAAATCGGCTATGTAAATCATCTATATTCATTTTTGCTCTATTGATATTCATTTTGTTTAAATAATGAATAATTTGTTTATCAAGACACATTAAAGGTCATTTCAGTGTTGCCTAAATATCACGCATGCACGGAATATATGTTTCTAGCGAACATCAGACCAAGTTTTTAGTGTAAATACAACAACTACATCAGAATCACAAATAATTGGTATCACTATGTGGACGGCGACATCGGATTGTATAAGAGAGGCGGCGAGAGAGGTGTTAGGGGTATCGAAGGGTTACTCTGGCAGGCACCGAGGCGACTGGTGATGGAATGACACGGTCCAAGGTAAAGTGAAAGCAAAGAAAGCGACCTGCATCGATTTTTAGTGAAGAACACCGACGAGGAGCCAAGGAGAGCGAACCGAGTAAGATATAAGGAAGCTAGGAAGGAGGCAAAATTAGCGGTCACGGAGGCTAAGACTATTGCGTTTGGTTGGTTGAATGAGGAACTGAGGGGCAAAGGTGGGGATAAGAAGTTATTTTGGCTGGCCAAAGCGAGAGAGAGGAAGGCTCGTGACCTGCATCGAGTGAGGTGCATTAAAGACGAGAAAGGTAGAGTATTGATTGTAACGACCCGATCGGTCGTTTTAAACATTTACACTTCGCTCGGTTGTTTGAGGGCATGAGTAGCTTCATATAATGTAATATGACTTATGTGAATCGTCGGTTTTGGTTTTCAAGTTATTCAGAATTGATTTGAAAGAATGATTCTCAGCTAGAAGCTTTAAATTTGATAGAGTCGATCAAGTATGACTTTTTATGAATTTGAACCCGGAACGGAGTTCTGATTGTTCCATTAGCTCCGTTGGGTAATTTCGGACTTAGGAGTGCGTCCGGATTGTGATTCGGAGGTCCGTAGTTGAATTTGGTACGAAATGGCGAAAATTGAAATTTTAGAAAGTTTGACCGGGAGTGAACTTTTTGATATCGGATTCGGATTATGATTCCGGGAATTGGAATAGCTTCGTTATGTTATTTGGGACTTGTGCGCAAAATTTGAAGTCATTTCGGATTGATTTGCTATGTTTCGGCACGAGTTATTGAATTTGAAAGTTCGAAGTTTATAGATGTCGATTTGAGGTGCGATTCATCGTTTTGATATTGTTATGCTTGATTTGAGGCCTCGAGTTGGTCCGTATTATGTTATTGGACTTGTTGGTATATTCGGGCGTGGTCCCGAGTGGCTCGGGCGTGTTTCGGATTGATTTCAGAGCTTTTTGGAAATTTTGGCTAGGTTCATTGCTGTTGGTTCTGGTGTGACCGCACCTGCGGCTGGTTTGCGCAGGTGCGGTGGTCGCAAAAGCGAAAGTGGGGCCGCAGAAGTGGCACAAAAGCAAAGGTGATGAAACCCCGGGTTACGTGCTATGTGATTGATGATGAGGTGACGCGCATACTAAGTGGCAGGCGTGTGGGCGTGCACCCGGTGAATTGTGACTCCTTTGTTTTCATGGCACTGTTTAGTGGCCCTATTTTGTTGATATCTGTGTTTTCACCACGTGATTAAGTAACTGAACTGTGAATCATGCTAGCTATCCTGTTTGGGCCTTATGCTGATATTGTTAGGACCCATAGTGGTCACTTCTTACTATCATCTCACTAATTTCATTGATATTTCGTACTCAGTCATATTCATGCATTCATATCATATCTCAGTCTCAGTTGTTACTTATTGATACATCATATCATTGTTCCGGGTCAGTTTACAAGACATTGTGAGTCCTTGGGTGAGACTGGAGAGATTGATGACTAAATAAGGCCGAGAGCCTGATTATGAGTGACAGCTATGGGATCGGGCTGCACGCCGCAGCATGCTATATTGATTTATACATGGATCTGGCTTATAATAGTGCTTGAGCTGTGGGAGCCCCTCCGGAGTCTGTAACACACCCCCAGTGAGCGCGAATGATATTATTGAGGGATGGATTTCCCTGGATATGGATTTGTCCGAAGTACTTGATACCTGGAGATGGATTTCTCCACAGGGTTAGATTGCCCTTTTTCCTCGGTACTGAGTGACTGATGGTCAGTGATGTATATATTCTGGGATAGATCTTCCCTGGGCCGTATGGGCTATATACAGTACCGAGTGGTTGAGCATGATGAGTGGAAAGTGTGAGCCAGTGAGATTGAGTACTCTAAGAGTGTGAGTACATGATTCATCTCTGAGATACATGGAATTAGCATGCACACATGACATACATGCATAGAGACGCATCTTTCCTCGTGTTGTACGGTATCACGTCATTTATGACTTTTACACACATTGATATGTGAGCATAGAGAGGTATTTCACACTTGCTATCTGGAAAGGAAATGAAACATCTTACTTATTTTTGGAAAGGAATTTTGGAAAGATTTACAGTTTTCAAATTATCTCATACTTTTCGACGATTTCGGTAAAGGATTTGGGTTTTCACTGTTATTCTTGAAAACTATTTTCGGAAAATTGTGATAAAGCTGAGCATTTTATTTCTGAATTGCTTTCTTATTTATATGCCCTACGTTGTTATAAACTGCTATTGGTTATTGGTGTTGGACCCGACCTATGTTCCAGCTCGTCACTACTTTCAACCTAAGGTTAGGTTTATTACTTACTCAGTACATGGGGTTGGTTATACTGATACTACACTTCTGCACATTGCGTGCAGATGTTGGTTGTTGTTGTTGCTGTGCTTGATGGTTGCCGGATTTGAAGATGTATATGCGTTCCTATTGTAGCTGTCTCTTGTTCATGGTAGCCTTAGATTTATAAAAATTCTGTTTATGTACTTTTCAAACAGAAGGTGTATTTACTTCATATCAGCTTTGTAAGCTCTATTCTTAGAAGCTCATGATTTGTACTACCAGTTCTTGGGGAATGCATAAGATTAAGACTTTTCATTACTTAATTACTTTATAAAATATTATTGGAATTGGTTGGTGGTTAATTGGCTTACCTAGCGGGTTGGGTTAGGTGCCATCACGACTAGTCGGATTTTAGGTCATGACAAGGTGGTATCATAGCTCTAGGTTCATAGGTTCTACAAGTCATGAGCAACTGTCTAGTAGAGTCTTGAGGATCAATATAATGACGTCCATACCTATCTTCGAGAGGCTACATGACATTTAGGATATACTTCCCATCTTTCTTTCATTATCGTGCGGCATTGATTCAGCTTGAAGTGTAATCCTTCGAATTCCTTCCACGCATTCGTATGCACACGTGAGCGCTCGGTATCGGCTGTGCAGGGACAGCTGGTGATTTCCTGGATGAGGGCCAGATGTGATTTCTGTGTGTTGATGATGGACCAGTCTGGGGGACTTGAGGCTGGGTTTTGACGGTGGCTTGAGCACGGAGACTTCGGTTATGTGAAAACGTGTTTGTGGGACTTATATGTCCGGTGGTATCCCTGTTAGAGGAATTTATGATTGGATGACTATGGGGTGAGTATGATGATACTGCGAAATGTGTTCAGATTGTTCGAATGTGACGAGAAAAGTTTACTTGAGATATAGCAAGGACTATGGGGTGTCTGATTTCTGTCTTGATTTGGCGTATGGTCTCGAGTTATGGGTGTGTTGAGGAATCTCTCATGTTGTTTAGTTGTGGAGTGAAGTAGATTCTCATGTCTTGTTGATGAGTTCAGAATCAAGAAGATTAAGTGATTGTGTAGTGGTCGTGACTATGGAAGGGTATAGAGAGATGTCGGTTCGAGGCAGAGCAGGCGGGTTATCTCCTGCGAGGTGTCCTGAGATTGTGTGGTCCTTATGATATTTTGTAGAGATTTCTCTTTTACTAGTGAATGATATATGTTGCAATTTGAGTTTGGATTTCTTGTGGAAGTTAGCTTGACTATTACAAGGGTGAATGCGAGATTTGGAGACGATTTAAAGTATTATATGGTTTGTATTACATGAGCTTGCGAAGGATTTAGTTAAATTTCAGTGCGGGATTCTGGCAGTGATAGAGTATGGGTATCGTGATGTTATCGAGTGTTTTGTTCTGTGGCCTTGAGCCAAGAGGGGGAGTCTGCTATCGACGAGTTGATTGCACAGTTATGTGTTATATTGGTTTCGATTTGGGGTATAATGGTGAATCAGTTATGACTTGCAGGCGTCGAGATCAAGGATGACTCGGGTAAAGGAATTTCTGGATACAGGTTGCATTACACTCTATGGGTATACGGGAATCATAAAATAACTGAGTGGTTATTCGCGAAGGATGTAGTGTACATGGAGTAGGAATTTGCTCGGTTGCTTAGGAGTGGGTTACTCCTTTGGGTGTCGTCGTGCCAATGGGGCACCAGTCGTTTGGCCTGTTTGGGGTGGTGTAATTGAGATTTGAGCAGAATATTGACTCTCGAAAATGGTTCTAATAGACTCAAGAATTATATGTAGTGATTTGGAATTTTCAAGATTGGTACATAGCTAGAAACTGAGAGTTACATTGGATGGTGTCGAGACTTGTGGCATTTTTATATCATTGTGGATTATGCATTTCTGCGTTGAGAAGGTGAAGGAAATAGTCTTAGGTTCACATAAGGTCTCTTTAGAGTGGGTATCTCGGGTGTGGTTCTTTAGGGTGCTTAAGAGGGAAGTCGACGGCTTATGGGCCTTAGGGCGTTGTGGTTTTATACTAGGGTCTCTTGTGTGGTGAATTTTAGTTAAGGATTGTGGTGTTCCAGCAAGGAGAAGCATCAATTTGAAGGCAATTTGGAAGGGACTTGGAGAAATAGGACAACGTGGCAGTAGGTTGGATCAGCACAGTAATGGAGATAATCAGTTCTTTGGGTACTTATGATGTGGCTAGTCTCCACAGGTGTTTCATGGCAATGCTCTTGGGTTTTGATGACCTGCGTGGCTGGGTGAGTTAGAGAGATTCAGTTCTGATAGCTTGGTTGTGTGCAAATGGGTTTCAAAGAGTTCCCACTGGGTTTTACCA